CGTCGAGAGAACAAGTGTCAGGCGAATAAGGGCAAAGGTTGCACCGAGAAGGGGGAGAAAGATTCACCTATGTACTTAATAACGGGCTAATAACGAGCTGTTAATGGTGTAACGTAGAAGGACAAGGGACGATACAATTGATCCGGTGGTACCAGCCGCTGTTCGTATTCTCTCCTCTACGACCACGTTTGCTCGTAACGATGTCGCGACGCGACGACGAAAGAAAAAAAGAAACAGAGGAATTTATCTCGGTATCGGTGAGCAAATCGTACGTGCCTGAGATCGAAAAACGATAGCCGGAATGATGTCGGGAGAGCCCCAGCGAAAGAGACCAAGCGAACCCGATGATCCGTCGAAACGTTCCAAGGATACGATAAAATTCCTTCTCCTTTGCACGAATATCAAAGACACTCGGACCAGTGGAACGATATATCGAGTCGATGATATACGACCTTACGGATAAATCGAACGGGAGAGGAATTCTTAACAGATGCAGATACAACGATAGGGCAGATCTCTCACCTAGAGCTAGAGGTCGAAACGGCACGTCCTTATGGCACCCTTGTTAAACCGTGAAATCGCCTGCGCTGTAGCGCACCGATGGCCCACCGCTGTGGGAATACCAACGACGATCGCGATCGTGCGAAGCACACGCAAGTGAAAACTCTAGGGGCCGGAGTCTAGAGATCCGCGTGGACCGCGAGCACCACGAGCACCACCGACTCGTACGTGGTCGGTTTTGCACACTGCGCCTCTTCCTCGAGGGGTAGTTTTCAGCCCAACGATCGATACCCGGCAACCAGTCCCTCTTTCTCCCTCCACACTATACACCGTCTCGCTCGTACCAAACGCGTACTCTCCCTCTCTGTTCCTTTCTCTTCCTCCCTCTTGCTCGCGCGCCAACTCGGCGCCCTCCCCACTCGACCACGCTACCGTCCTCGCTCTTTCTCCTTCCCCTTCACTCGTCTTTCTCTCTCGTGCTTTCAGCGCTTCCTTCGAAGTCTCTGTTCAACTTTTTGCCACATCGCGTCGTTCCATCGTATCCCCTGCTCTTTCTCCTTTCGCGATCCCTACTTCCGTTTTGTCGTAATTGTCCCAAGCTCTTGTATTCACTACACTTTCCCTTATTCCCCTTCGTTCCTTTCTCCAGCCTGTTTTCTCCGTGGGTTTTCCTGGGTTTTCACTAGGTCTCAAGTGTTCCACGCTTTGTCCCGTGCTTTTTCTTTCCTCCGTGCCGCTTCTGCGTGCCTCTGGATTTCCTTCGCCCACGCGCCGCTAATCGCAACCCTCGCGAACTCGTCCACGCGTTTTTGCCGCTCGCGGGACAGCCAGCCTCGAGTAGCAGAAAGAATCGTTGAAGATCGCGTGCAGGGGAGAGTAAGGAACGATATTTTCGCGGAATTAATGCTCGCGATGAACAGGGTTTGTTTTCAGTTAGGTTAGGGTTCGCGGCACCGAGAGTATGACGATGGAGAGTGGTAACTCGACGGTCGAGGCTGACTTTGATCATACTACGGGGTTGGTATTTCGTGACATCGTATACAGTATGTCTATACAGTGAAATGGCTCTTAAAGTCGTGACGTTAAGAATAGAATATTTAAACAATATGTCCACTTGCAGAAAAACTAATTATATCGCCTAATATACCCCTTCACTTTTATTTAAACATTTTTTTCCTAACGTCACTTCCTTGAAAGATAATTCACTGTATCGTAATGCAAAAAGCGGTCTTACGTATAATTTTATAAATAATTCTTTGAATAAATAGTTTTAGTTTGCGGTAGTAGCTTAACGGACCAGTGGTGCTAGTGTGATATGTAGCAAACTGTGTGTAGCTAGAGAAATTTCATCGATATCGATGAATCTCTTTAGAATCAATTTCGGGGAAATTACAGATTTAAAATTAGAAAAATTACACAAGAAAGAAAGAAGAATATATTGCAATTCTTATTGCAATAATCTGAAAATGAAAAACTGATACAAAACGTTACACCTGTTACATTAAAAAAGTTTATCCGTTATAGCAATGTTATTATTATTAATGCATTATCTTTTCTCGTCCTCAAAATATTTCTCTTACAAATGCAACGACTACTTCGAGATAATATTGATACCCTATGTATGTCCACTACTTTAGAAATATTCATTAAATACAAGGAAATTACATTAAAGATAAGAAAAAACAACTAGTTTTGTCTTTTAAAAGGCACCAGAGGGTATGTATTACCATACTCCATAATTTCCTACCGAATTTCACGAAATATGCAAATTTCCTTTCATTTTCATTATGGTGAGTATCTCAAATATTCCATCTCGTGGGAAACAAAATTAAAAATGAACAGACCCAAACTTAATTATTATTTTCTTCTTCCCAAATCAATTTAGCTTAAATTGCTAATGTCTTTTCTCTTTAGCAGTCATACAGATAAATAATCGCAAACAAACTTTTCCAATCGTCTATTAACTACAAAGTTCTACACGCAGTTTCGTGTCACCAATAAACGATATGTTAAACGAACATCGACGTTTTGTTTATTAAACATATGCTCAATAAATTAAAACATAAGCTTGAAAGATAAATGGTCCATGCAAAGAGATAAATTGATATATCGTCGATTAAAAAATCTTAAGACGACGAAACATTGGAAACGATGTCTCGATACATAGAAGATTAATTGAGAGAACAGTATTGCTTATGAGACGACCCATTGACCCCTATATAGTCAATTTTATATAGATAAAAGTGGTGACTTTTATAGTCCAATTGTTATATCATATCCCATTATTGACACAGCAACAACATACAGCGATGGAAGTGAATCTCGTTTTTCCTCGAGACAATGTTTAGCCGCGAGCATAAGGCTGAGAATCTGGAATAAAGGGTCTTAAGATTTATTTCTCTGATCGGGCGGAATGTGATACTGTTTCGAATAAGAGTTTAGGTTTACTTTTAGTGGAACGCGACCTTTTTATATTATATAGGTATATTTTTTGTTATGAGGGTAATTTGAAGAAAATTATTGGATATATTCTCTTTCGATGTCATGAATTTTTTAACAAAACTGTTTGGAAGATCCAAATTTAAGGTTTATTTTGTTAATTTCTTAATAAAGCGTTTAAAGATACAACCTAAGATATATTTCTTAATCGATTATAACCTTTTTTTAGGTCGTCAGGATAATTTTGTTAAGAAGTGTATGAAATATTTTAGAAATATTTTAATTTCAAGAATCAAGAAAATCTGATCTAAATGGGACTCGAAATTGTGCAATTCGTTGAGAAGTTAAAATTCGCTTTAAGTTAAAATTCATACTTTAATCAAGAAAATTGTCTTGTTGCAAAGACCAACTATTTTTGTTTCAGTCTATAAAAGAAATGGATATCTGACGTATCATAACCTAACGGACCAATATATAATCAGTTTTCACAGATTTAACCCGGTTCTAAATCGGATCTCCTTACAAAACCGAGAATATTTAAAATAAAAAGAAAAATCTCTCCTAGACGACTTTAGCGCCGAATTATTTAAATATCACAGAAAAACTACTTAACAAACCTGTTTCAAACATAGAATTTTTTCTTTGTGCAATTGATCATATTAAATTAGTATTGAATACTACCAGTAATTAATACATATCAAATTATACTAAATACCATAGCTTAAAAATAATAATGTAACTCGTGTAATAAATTTACAACAAATATACTACTAAAAATTATTCACCTTTCGAATTTTACTTACATAACAAACACAATAAAAGTAAAAGAAAACAACGAATTATTTCAAGTAGAAAAAAGGAACAAATACAAAAATATACGCAATGGAAAATGTTGAAACGTTTATTCGTTATAACAGGACAAACTGAATAAAATTGAATAGTAAATTGTATGGAATTAAAAAATGTCGAATAAAATTGAGAAAAAATTAATCTTACAACGTACCATTTTTTCTTAAGAAATTTTTGTACCCTGCCTACATTCAAATAGCAAAAACCCTTGTCAATGCAGTTCGAGAGGTCTACAATTCGGAAATATCCTATAAAAACCACGAGCAACCGTTTCCTGTCGATTTATGTCACTTTGACGAACAGCTAGTTGAAGTAAAACTAAAAAGGAGATGTTGAAAAATATATATTAAATTCCTGGCAAAATATTAAACCGCGACGGATGTTCGAACTCGATCAATAAGAACGAAGAAACAGTGCGAAACCTGGCAAAAAGTTGCACGCTACATACATTTTGCGCTCGATAAAATTGTTCTAAGAGGGTGTTTTTATTTGATGAAACTGTATTCATCATTATTTTATTGAATTTCCTTTTTTTCTTGTTCCTTTTTCCTCGACATACTTTATACCACGTGCATCATTTATGTCCCATGAAAGCAACCAGAATAGAAACTTCCATTAAAAAAAAATATATTTTTCAATATATAAATCAATATATAAATCAATATATAATGTAAAAGATCAGGATGTTCAAAATTCGAATCTATCGGTAAACAAAAAGGAGCAACCAGAAACGATGCTTCCATTAAGATAAATACATTTTTCGACGACGTAAAGAGGATCGAAAGGAAAACCAAAATGTCTAAATTTTGATCTGTTGGTAAGCTAAAGTGGTTGGTAATCGAAAACGAAACTGAACAAACATATTTCTCAAGTAAATATTGTGAGTATGAAAGAAGATTAAGACGTTCGAAGTTCTGCTCTATCGATGAACCAAAAACGTAATCAAAAGCGAGACTTTCATTTGTGAAATAAAATTTTCGAATAAGATACGTCTAAAAAGGAGAAAGTATCGAGAGTCTCGTCTTTATCTGCTGAACTATTGATTCTTTCGTGACACGAAATGTGTTAAGTCACTATTACTAGAATATCGTTTGCAAACGAAAAGAAAATATTATGCCTGATATATTCGTTTTGAATGTAATGCCAGACAACTATAAGTATAATAGAAAATATTAACTATGAAGGATTTTAAATGAACTTAATTCCAAATTAAAATAATTAATCTTTCATTTTCTACGTAACTTCGAATCCCAGTATGAATGATGTATGAATAATGCTTGATAATTTTTCTTCGATTTTTCTATAACGCAATAACGCGTATCGTTGTTCCTTCATGGAATCGACACAAACACCACGGGGATTCAAAGGATATTGCATGAAAAGGTCATGGTGTTAAATGCAATGAGAGTAGCACGAAAAAGAGTATTTGTTTGAAACTCGTGGCTCTCGGTGGCAAAGAAAGGACACCTCGATACCGTTCGAAATATTTTTACTACATACGTGAGTGAACATTTATGAATGAATCAATTCTTCAACGTTGGTCACCTCGATAAGAATGATGATTTTACTTTAAAATCCGAACTTTTAGATTTGCTTCTTCTCGTCAACATTTGTCAATTATCCATTCAATAATAACTATCCAATAATAATTAAACGTCAAAATATTAGTAAAAAAAAAAGTAATTTTTTCAAACATTATTCTGTTTTTCAAACATTATTCCACTTTCTATAGAAATCATTTCTCCCCTTCTGGATAAAAGTAGAAGACGAAGATATAATTCTACTTTATTGTAAGTTATTTAATCATTTTCCAGATGCAATTTAAAATTTCTGTAATGCTAAGTGAACCATGAAAACATCAAGTCATATCTGTAAGTAATAATTGTCTTATCATGAAACAGAAAGAAGAAAACTATTTATTTCGCCATTCTGATACAGCTCT